AATAAAGCCTCTGATGATCTTTCTTTCCATGTAGAGAAAATGACTGTAGTACCTCTGAGTCTGGAGAAGAAGATTTTTGAAATATTGGTTAATTTTCCCTTTGGGGTCCCGCCATGGCCCCTAGGGTTGGGGTAGGAATCCCAATTTTACAATTTGAAACCATCTTCCTCCAAGGATAATTCTCACCAAGTAAAAATAATTTCCTACAGAAAATTGTCAAAGTATACCCAATTTTGTAGCCTTATCTACCAAGGATGATTCTGACCAAGTTTGAACAAATTCCATCCACTGGTTCTTGAGAAGAAGTTGAAAATGTAAAAAGTTTACGCACAACGGACGGAAAGCGATCAGAATGAGCTTGAGCAAAGCTCTGGTGACCTAAAAAGCAGTTTATTTCTATTAAATGCGTCGATTATTCTTGTTGCCCCGAACTTCCGGAAGGCCCACAATGAATCTGTATGTGGGGGAAACCAGAGTACCTGGAAAAAAAACCTGTTTTCGAACATATTACCCAATACCTTTTCACGTCCGATACGAGAAAGAAATCCCGTCCGTTTAAATGAAAATAATAATAATACACTTTATTTCACGAGGATAAAAGAACCTGTAAAGCTGAGGCTAATCTACCACAGTGTCCGCTTGTTAGTAAAACAATGGTAGGTGTTAAAATACATACTTATAGAATACAAAACATATTTGTAGCAAAATTGAAAAGCGATTGCTCTATCTAATTCCCCACTTGACCAACGTTGTTCAGAAGAACACTAAAGCCTGTAGTCATATTTAGCGTTGAACATGACAAGGATTGGTTGACTGATCTTCTTTCTTGCTATTGAAAAAAATTGCTACATCTCTAGCGCTTGGTGGAGTGTGGCACATCCTTTCTCCAATGATAGGTGGAAGGTTCTTTTGATTTTAGTTTCATGATTAAGTCTATGTTAGTTTTTATTTAGTACAGTCTTGTAAATGGAATAAATTCTTGCATCTTAAAAATGCAAAGTTTCAATAAGATTATTAACTCTATAGCAGTTATTTTGAATTAAGAATCTCCAAAATACACTAAAGGATGGTTTCCCTTACACTGTCTTTAATGAAAATATTAAAAACAATGTACAAGTGACAACTTGTTGATTTACTCCGACACTTTACCGACACTTAAACCAACCCAAATAACAATAGGTTGAATTACAATTCATTAGTCCATCTAGTAACATAACTCTTATTTACATATACACTGTAGTGATGGTAGTGTTTTATATCCTGTGAAATGTGTTTGTTTGTTTAATATGGAAGGTAACTATACTGTCCTATACGATATTCAAATAAAACATGTGGAAGTTACCATTAGTTAACTGAAATATAAATTAACTACATCATGTATTACAGCATCAATCAGATGAAAGCACGGTAAACCTGTATCACACCAAAGATTTGAATGTTTAACTTTTTGCTAAACTCGACATGTATTTTTTTTTTTATAGTTACATTCAGCTAAACAAACGAAAAATCCCTCCCGGGCTTGCTGTATCTATATTCAGCCGGTAACTACTTAGAACAGTTGAAACTAGAACTGTAAGCCAAAGGCTAACTAATACCCCCGCTGCTATATAAACCAGAACTGTAAGTTAAAGGCTTACTAAGGCAAAGCATTGCAAAGCAATCCATAGTGTCCCACAAGTATCATGTATTCCGCACAAAGGGGCATAACTCCATCAAAAAGGGTTGAAATCCAAACGGTGCACAACTACATAAGATACTGATCATTCATTCAAAAATTCAATGAAATCCACCTGTTAGTTAAGGAGGAGTTACGCGGACAAGTATTTCACAAAAAGGGGCATAACTCCATCAAAAAGGGTCGAAATCCCAATTTAAAATGCCGGTGCACAACTACATAAGATACTGATCATTCATGCAAAGTTTCAATGAAATCCACCTGTTAATTAAGGAGNAACCCCCCCCCCCCCCCCCCCTAACTTCGTTGCGGGGGTATAATAAAGAATCCCATCATCCTGCCTATCAGCGTTTGGAAAGGATTCTTTATTCCAACTATCAAACCAATCTTCAATGTTTACAAAGACATACACGCAATGTTATCACCCGATATGTCAGGACAAAAAATATCTACACAATGTTATCACCCGATATGTCAGGACAAAAAACATCCACACAATGTTATCACCTGATATGTCAGGACAAAAAACATCCACACAATGTTATCACCCGATATGTCAGGACAAAAACCATCCACACAATGTAATCACCTGATATGTCAGGACAAAAAACATCCACACAATGTTATCACCCGATATGTCAGGACAAAAAACATCCATGCAATGTTATAACCCGATATGTCAGGACGAAAAATATCTACACAATGTTTAATATCACCGGATATGTCAGGACAAAAAATATCTACACAATCTTATCACCCGATATGTCAGGACAAAAACATCCACACAATTATCACCCAATGTCAAGACAAAAACATCCATACAATGTTAGGACAAAAACATCCACAAATTCATGTTTTCATCAGGGTATTTATTCAGACAATATATACAACGATAAAAAATCTGATAATTTAAAACTTGTTTACATCTTGATTTTATTAATTTAACAGAAAACCTCTTACACCAATAACAATGATTAAATAATAATGTCAGTTCACTTGAGACTTGTTTAGAGTGATCACCAACAGAAGCCTGCTGACCTCTCTGTAGCAATGTTAAACCAGGTATATACAAGACTGATAGTAGCCTATATAAACAGAGAATAGCATGCACAAAGAGCACAATTTTAAAGAAAATAAAGTGATTTTTGCATTGACTTCGGGAAAATACAGCAAAATTTTTGTTGGGGAACGGGTTTTATAATGCCCCCTTGGGGAACGGGTTTTATAATGCCCCCAATTCATTCTTAAATGATCACTGATGAAGAACTTAATAAATAGCGAGCAGAAAGAATACCTGGATGCATAAAATTTGAATAAAAAATTTGTAACATCATAATCAGCATCTAATATTCACAAATATTCATAAAGTTGACCCGAATACTGCTGCTCTTAATTAGCCAACTCCTGGAAGTCTGTTCATTATCATAAGGTTACCGACAAGATTTAGGAACTACATTAGCATAAAAATAAAGGCAACATATTGTCATATTTCATGAAATCAATTCATAATCAAGAAATGTATTGAACAGAAACGAATTCAGGATGTGGTCACATATATATATATATCAGCATAAAATTAGGAAATTTCATAAATAGACGACCTATTCACTTAGTAACAGTAAAATTGAGAGATTTCATCAATAATGAACCTATTCACAAAACCATCAACCTCGGATATGTGACGGGAACCAAACTATCAACCTCGGATATGTGACGGGAACCAACAGTATTGCAGATAAAAATATATTAAGCTTTGTCTCTAGATCTCGGATAAGTGTCTGTACAACTACAGCCTAATACTCGAATAGTGTTCAGCACCAATATTATCACACTAACTGAAACAGAATATCATCATCCAGGTCATCGTCATCATCTATATCTGATATTGATAATTCTTCATCGTCGTCATCATCATCATCGTCATCTGCAAAACAAAAACAATGAGCTTTTAAAAGTTTCATCTAAATCCAATAATTTGTTTACAAGATATCCACTGGAGATACACCTTTATGAACACAAAATGGCCACTGGCAGCCATATTGAATTCTTGATCCAACTCAATTTGAACTGCAGTGGGGAATTGATAATAAAATCTTCTTTCAAGAGTTATTGTGTAAACGTTTTGCACACATTACAGCTACAAACATTTCAACATTGCCACTTGCGCCAAATTAAATATTGAATCTGAATGGGACCAAATTTTGCGTAATACATGGTGTCAAAATACCAGTTGACATCACATTTCATTTCCACCAGTTTTTTTTTGAGAATGGGAATGATGAACCTTTCAAGCAGTTACACACAAGAAAAGCCATCATTTTAGAGATGAATTACATTCAATGAGGGGCATCATGTAAAAGTACCAACATGTCATATATCATAACAGGTTACAATGTGAATAACCTCCGACAAGCTCCCTTATTTACAATCAGGATATACAGGGACTGAATCCCCATGGAAAACGTTTTTGTGAAAACCAATTATGAATATATTTCTTTCAAATATATGCAAGTCATGAAGAAAGTTCAACTCTTAAATGTTGGAGATACAACCGAGTGCTTAGACCACCTAAAGTACCTTAATACATGTACTATTAATACAATGTGAGGATGTTTTGTGTTAACAGGGGAAACATGCTTCCATTGGTATCATTATATATACAGTTTTACCTCACTTGAACGTTACAGGCACTGTAGAACCCACCCCAGACCATTACAGCACAGGGTCTGTAGAACCCACCCCAGACCATTACAGCACAGGGTCTGTAGCACCCACCCCAGACCATTACAGCACAGGGTATGTAACACCCACCATAGACCATTACAACACAGGGTATGTAACACCCACCCCAGACCATTATGTCACAGGGTATGCATCACTCACCCCAGACATTACAGCACAGGGTCTGTAACACCCACCCCAGACCATTACAGCACAGGGTATGCAACACTCACCCCAGACCATTACAGCACAGGATCTGTAACACCCACCATAGACCATTACAACACAGGGTATGTTACACCCACCCCAGACCATTATGTCACAGGGTCTGTAACACCCACCATAGACCATTACAGCACAGGGTCTGTAACACCCACCATAGACCATTACAACACAGGGTATGTTACACCCACCCCAGACCATTATGTCACAGGGTCTGTAACACCCACCATAGACCATTACAACACAGGGTTTGTAACACCCACCCCAGACCATTATGTCACAGGGTCTGTAACACCCACCATAGACCATTACAACACAGGGTATGTTACACCCACCCCAGACCATTATGTCACAGGGTCTGTAGCACCCACCACAGACCATTACAGCACATGGTCTGTAACACCCACCCCAGACCATTACAGCACAGGGGAGGTAACACCCACCCCAGACCATTACAGCACAGGGGAGGTAACACCCACCCCAGACCATTACAGCACAGGGTCTGTAACACCTACCATAGACCATTACAGCACAGGGTATGTAGCACCCATCCCAGACCATTACAGCACAGGGTCTGTAACATCCACCATAGACCATTACAACACAGGGTATGTAACACCCACCCCATACCATTACAGCACAGGGTCTGTAGCACCCACCCCAGACCATTACAGCACAGGGTATGTAACACCCATCCCAGACCATTACAGCACAGGGTATGTAGCACCCATCCCAGACCATTACAGCACATGGTCTGTAGCGTCCATCCCAAACCATTACAGCACAGGGTATGTAACACCCACCCCAGACCATTACAGCATAGGGTCTGTAACACCCACCATAGACCATTACAGCACAGGGTCTGTAACACCCACCCCAGACCATTACAGCACAGGGTCTGTAACACCCACCCCAGACCATTACAGCACAGGGTATGTAACACCCACCCCAGACCATTACAGCACAGGGTATGCAACACTCACCCCAGACCATTACAGCACAGGATCTGTAACACCCACCATAGACCATTACAACACAGGGTATGTTACACCCACCCCAGACCATTATGTCACAGGGTCTGTAGCACCCACCATAGACCATTACAGCACATGGTCTGTAACACCCACCCCAGACCATTACAGCACAGGGTCTGTAACACCCACCATAGACCATTACAACACAGGGTCTGTAACACCCACCCCATACCATTACAGCACAGGGTATGTAACACCCATCCCAGACCATTACAGCACAGGGTATGTAACACCCACCCCAGACCATTACAGCACAGGGTCTGTAACACCCACCATAGACCATTACAGCACAGGGTCTGTCACACCCACCCCAGACCATTACAGCACATGGTCTGTAGCGTCCATCCCAGACCATTACAGCACAGGGTATGTAGCACCCATCCCAGACCATTACAGTACAGGGTCTGTAGCGTCCATCCCAGACCATTACAGCACAGGGTATGTAACACCCACCCCAGACCATTACAGCACAGGGTCTGTAACATCCACCATAGACCATTACAACACAGGGTATGTAACACCCACCCCATACCATTACAGCACAGGGTCTGTAGCACCCACCCCAGACCATTACAGCACAGGGTATGTAACACCCATCCCAGACCATTACAGCACAGGGTATGTAACACCCATCCCAGACCATTACAGCACAGGGTATGTAACACCCACCCCAGACCATTACAGCACAGGGTCTGTAACACCTACCATAGACCATTACAGCACAGGGTATGTAGCACCCATCCCAGACCATTACAGCACATGGTCTGTAGCGTCCATCCCAAACCATTACAGCACAGGGTATGTAACACCCACCCCAGACCATTACAGCACATGGTCTGTAGCGTCCATCCCAGACCATTACAGCACAGGGTATGTAACACCTACCCCAGACCATTACAGCACAGGGGCTGTAACACACACACCCCCAGGGTCTGAAACACCCACCATAGACCAATACAGCAAATGGTCTGTAGCGTCCATCCCAGACCATTACAGCACAGGGTATGTAGCACCCATCCCTGACCATTACAGACCATGGTCTGTAGCACCCACCCCAGACCATTACAGCACAGGGTCTGAAAGTTCCATGCAACAAAGTCTTTCAGTATTGAACTCGGACTAACTGCGTAGACGACCAGAGTATTTACCATTCAGCCAAATCTGCCTCTAATCTCGTGTCAAATTCTGATAGTTAACTATCAATTCTATCCTTGTATCTTAAATCTAGTGCCGAATAACTAACATACCTCCATCAATTTCAAAGGAGTCATTGGAATCATCTAGCGAGTCCATATTGAGGATATCATCCTCATCATCGTCATCATCCTCTAGCCCGTCGTCTTCCTCCTCCTCCTCTGGCTGGTCATCATCTGCGTCACGTAGTTTACCGATTTCATACAGCTTACACACACTCTCTTTAGTTCCCGTCTCAGAGAAGTCTTGATTCTGTGTCACATACAATAACATTGCTATTATACAATAGAGATTAACAAAACCCAAGAGAAAACCACGTGGGACATGATCTACTCATTAGAAAATATCTCTAACACATGAATGCTCCCCTACTCCCAAGAAAATTTGTGTCGGGCCAAAAAAAATTGATAACTTGGTTCTCAGGCCCGCACGCATTTCATGGCACCGTGCGCATTGCCAATTTTATCGTGAAAGTAATAAAAAAAAATCGTGAATGCGCCAGCCGCCATCTTTAAAAAAACGGAAAATTGGTCCCATGTTGTTTTTATTCGTTAGTCACCCAAGTCCCGAAAACGTTTGAATAAAGATAAGGATTGAGATACAGGCAAGCGTTAAAATGATCATGACTTATTAGTCTTGTGTACAAATGGTGCTCATTTCGGTACAAATAAGGAATGGGGGGTTCGTGATTCTCATCTGGAACATCGTGGGGGGATTTTCAGAGGTTTGCTCTATGACGGGTCTCTACACAACTAAAAAAAGCCAAGATAATGCCCACAATGAACGTTTTACAAACTACACAATAAAAAAAAAATCGCCCTCGTCTCGTTTTTGCCATGTAAAATGAAAAAAAAATATACCGCCCTGACGCATCTATTTTGAAAATAATTGGCCTGAGAACCAAGTAATTAATTTTACTTGGCCTGAGGGTTTAATATAAAATCTATATACCTGGTATAGTAATGGTGACCTTGGCCTTATAACTCCGAAGTACAAACTTGTTAAAAGGATTCTCATACTTGACCTTTGCAGAAAGTTTGATCACAAAATCTATATAGTGATAATGTTGTTCAGTAAAGCTAAAGGATTGGGATTTCTATAAATAGTAAGTGGTGATAGCCTTGACCTAGGAACCATGACAAACAGACTCATTCAAGGTATTCTCATCTATAGTATGATTGAAATGAAGCTGCTAGAACGATGACACTGAAACGGGACGGACTGGACAGAAACAGTCAACACAATATCCCCTTCCCCATAAACATATGCAGATTTTTTTTTCTTTCTCATATGATCACTGTCATATTCAGCATGTGAAATATTATGATATAGTTACTTATTCTGATGTCACAAAATCATAGTCTAAGTACTGCAACATTGAGACTGTAAACAAGGGAATAAACATTTCCCCTGCTAGTACAGTCAGTGTATAGCACAATGTGTTTCAGTGTGTCTTTAGTATAGAATGTGTTTTGCTGAAATGACCATGTTAAAATGTGGCCTTGTTTGGATCCACCTTGTTTTCTTTGTCTATCAAGCAGTGCATATATAGAACTACCTATTGGTAAATACCTGTACAAGACTTGAAACAAGTATTCCATAAGTATTGCCAAGCAATAACAGTCTGTTTGTTTGTGTTTTATGTCCTATTAACAGCTATGGTCATTTATGGACGTGCCAGGTTTTGGTGGCGGAAGAAAACCGTAGTTCCCGGAGAAAAAACACCAACCAACGGCCAGTAGAAAAGGGAAGTCTTTCCTCTGTTATAAAAAGTAACAAAAGTCTGCCATCTTTACGAACCTCTACTTCTGTAAGATACTTTGTATCTGAGTTTTAATAAAAAACTTATTTATTCTTTATATATAAATAATAATATTTAGAAAGAATAAAAAGATCTTGTATTTAGATATTTCTGTAGTAAGTTTAAGATTTCTTTTAATGTAGACAAATCTGGTCGTCAGACAAACCTAGTGTTTGTAAATAACTTCCTATATGCTGAAATAATATTTCCATCAGTGTTAGTGAACTTTATACCAGTCTTCTAGTATATTTTCTATTATAAGATTAGATTCAATACTCGCCAAACAATGTAGAGAGTCAGAAAAATACACTATTCGATCATAGAACTTGGAAAAACATCGAGCCAGACCGACCTAGTGATCAACTCCCGTTACATACTTTGTATACAGAACAATGTACATAAATATTTTCCAGAAATCTGGATTGACAGCAAGAACATATATCTAGAGATTATGTGCTAAGGTGACATACCTCTACCACAGCCAGGAAGCAATCAGCTCGGTCGGAGCACAGGTCTGAGATGGTGCCGGATTTAACATCAACGGTAGCTGAGGGAGAACCAAGGTGGCATAAGTAAGTTAACAGTTTAGATTTCAAAGACTGGAAAAACAAAAACAGTAAACCATACATTAACTTCAATTCACAGGTCTTACAGCCCAGCAAAAATCTAGAACATTATGCTTGAAAGAAATGTTCATCAAGAGATTTATTTTTCACAAAAACATTTCTTCCCTTCACAGCCATTAGATCTTATCAAACCTTTGACCTCGAGGTGAAGGTCAAGGTGACTTTAATGCATTAGAGTGGTGATGCAGGTATACTTCAAATTTTATCAAAATATCTTTTCACTGCTTAAACTCTACAGACTGCACAATGTATAACTGAAACTTTGCACTTATTTGACCTTCAACCTAAAGGTGAGGTCAGAGCGACTAAAATTAAGGGCACTACACATCCTCTTTATAATTCAAATTTCACCAAGTTATCGTCAATGGTTAAAATCTGTAACTCACACAGAATTTCATTGAAAGTTTTGCAGTTGACTTTTGATCTTGAGGTGAAGGTCACAGTGACCTTTGGTTAGATGCAGTTACACTTCTTCAGCTTCATCAAAATATCTATAACAGTTTAAAAGTTCAAGCTCGGGCAAGATTTATTGTACAATTTTGCACCTATTTGTTGCTTGGTTACCTATGGAACTGTAGTCCTTGGCATCAAAAGTTCGAAATGTAGACCCGTATGGACTTCTCACTTTTTCCTCGGCAGCATCTTGTTCCTGATCAATTTGAATAGCTGTATGAACAAAGAATGAAATGAACTAAGATCAATGTATAGAGCTTAATTCACTAAATACCAGTTGTAGCTCTACCCTTTTTTTATGTCACACTCAACAGATTCTGTAGAAGATTTAATTTAAAAAGTTCTACTTTCTTTCAACTTTAAATTTCATGTATTAAAATGCTGATTTATAATAGAGCTGTAAAGTTTATTTGCATATATCTATTTCTGTGTTTCATTACAATTCTGCTTAGACATCACAAATCTAATAAATGGGCAATATTGTGAAACTACAAAGAAATATATATCTATTTATAGATCTGACTTTAAGGAAAGATTTTACATCTTCTATGCAAATGTTTCAAAACCCTGTCACATTTGCTGTTAAACAAAGATGGTAGGAGTACTATCAGGGTTATATTGTGTAAATACATCCAACACGTTTCCACTAGGAGTAGCTTGGAACGACAGTGCCAGATGGATCAATGAGAATACAGTACATAGTCTACTCACCGTACATGATGTTGCCGTTGTGATTGAAGTGAATCTGACACTGGTCGAGGGAGGGCACGGTATGTAGGAGGTGATAGGTCCTCATGTCCCACTGGCACAACAGTCAGGGACAAACATTTTCAAGAAAAAATGACCTGGAGAGGTTGAACCAATAACACGGGTATCTGAGTAATCATGGCAAAATACTCTCATTCAAAGTAATTTTACATTAATATCCCCCTTTGTAATCCCCTCTATTAAAGCACAAATCTGCCTTTACACAGCAATTGGTTCAAGGATCCAAGGGACCAAGAAAGCTTCATAGGAAGTTGGTTCAAAGGCCAATACGTGTAGCCTATGTGTATCATCTTTTAATGACCAGTAATTGTATATATGGTTCTAGGGTGGTGAAATTGTATTGGAACAGGGTCCATTGGGATGGAGCCAGACACTGGGCATTATCATGGTTCCATGTCTGTTTGGAACTTAACAAAATTGACTGGAAGCGTGCCTCCGTGGAGGGGATCAAAAACTGTACAAAAGGTGGGGCTGACCCAGGTAGGAACTGTAACAGATATTCGAGGGCTTGTCACTAGACATGAGCTTATTGCTGGATAAATACAATACCAAAAGGCAGAGCCAATCCTGAAAGCTTCATGTCCAGCAAATGTGTTGTATATGGTTGTGTGGTAAGGATCACAAGCATTTCTATAATTTGACCCAAGGACAAAGTCCCTAGTGGTGGGCTAGACCCCACAGTCAATCCTAGAAGTTAATTTATATTTCATAGGGTGGACGTTTCAATCATTTCAATGTTATGATCCAGGGACTATCTTCATGGGTGGGGGGGCGGACCCCGGGCAAATCCTGATAACATGATTGTGTTTGTATCATTATGCCAATCATATATGTTCGGATATGGGGAATTTAACCATTTCACCTTTATTTTCATCAAATCCAAGGAAGTAGAGCGCCACCGTTTGTTATTTTAGAATCATAACTACTAGCACAGAACAGCCATGAAAGGATACAACTTCGGAGTTGATAATGATCTCCAGTCCCATTGGATGGAACACTCCACTCACAAATTGGTTAAATTTGTCAAACTTGTGGATAGGCTTTCCTGATCGAACATCCCATAATACTCCATCGTTGAGCACCATGTCATCAGTGGGGTTGAAGGTTGCACGATTCAGCTGGTAGTTGTTGGCCAAGTTAGCATCGTACAGTTTCAGCAGTTGGCGACCCGTAGCCACGTCATAGATCTGTGGAACAAGGTCAGAATGATTTTAGATCTACACTTGTAAGGTCATGGCCGCTGATATATATCTAAGGTTAACAGTGTCAAATCAATATCTGAACCGTTTAAGGTTATCAATTCATATCAAGGGTTAGTAATGACAAAAGATAATTATTGCAATCAGGTCAAGGTAATTCATGTTAATCTAGAGCTACTAAGGTCAAGGTCCTTGACCTAGATCTGCAGTTTACAAGGTAAGATTATTTTAATTAAAATTGAACAAGCTCAAGGCTTTTATTTTATATTTGAAGACAGGTAGGTCAAGATATAAAATACATAAATATGAAGATATGCAGCCAGCAATGTTAAGATCATGGATTTAGATCTACATCCAACAAGGTCAAGGTCATTGATTTGGATCTAGTGCTAGAAATGTCAAGGTCATCTATCTAAATATAAAGTCAATTAGGTTAAGATCATTGAATTTTAGATCTGCCGGCAGCAATGTCAAAATAATTTTTAGATATTGGAATAGCAAGGTCAAGGACAAGGACAATGATTAAGAGCCAGTAACATGGGACAGAGGGACAGAGGAGGAAATGTAAGCAAACAACAAACTAAATGTTAGTTTTTATTGTCCTCAAATGCAATGCCTTTATTTATTTGAACTCAAGATTAACTAAAATTCTTTTCATAGCAAAGGTGACTGTGTATTAAAAATAACTGAATGTATGTGTCTAACACATTTGATTGCAAGTTATTGATATCCAAGATTCCTAAGTACAGGTTATGTAAACTTGGTCCTGTTCAGGCAGACATAAACAAATCCTGTATTCTGTTCCTCAGTGTTGTATGGCACCACACTTGTGGCGGTAAATATGTATACAGAATAAAAGTGATGAGTAGACTTACATGTGCGGTTCCATCCCTGGTGCCGATGATTCTGTCTTCTATGTGTTTACTAAACTCTACATAGTAATCCTCAAATGAATACCTGAAACAGGAAGTCACAAATCAACCCCTCACACCACATAGCAACCCTTTAACACACAACGGACCCTTTGTGCCTAAAAGTCATCTATACTCAAAAATAACCTCCACACCTCAAATTGTCTCTCACTTCCTCCAATGAACAGTCCCTGCTTCTTATCAACCCTCAACTTATAACAGTCTAACAAAAGCAGGGGAAACAAAAGAAAATATCCAAATGAGTGTATGTTGCAGGCTGATACATATTGGTTTGTCATCAACGCCATTAATGTTTTACCCATCATGCCTAATTATGACCTACTTGCTGTCCAGGACATCTCCGTAGCTCCACAGACTTGAGCCGTGCATGTTTTCCCACTCCACCTCGAAGGACGTCAGGACCAGCCCGCCATCCTGTAGTCAGAAATGTAATAAAAGATTATATATGTTTTAAGCATAGGTCGAAACTGTGCACAAGTTTCATATATGTATAATACAATCACTTCTTTACACATCATGTTGGAACAGAACAGAGACTATGTGCATGGTCTCACAAAAGGATGAAAACTTAAACATTTAATTTGTATCATGTTACAACATTTATGAAACAAGTTCTATCATCTTCTACCAATCACTTTTGTTGGTCCTGACAAAACCTACAGCCGAATTTTACACAGCAGGAAACATGAATACCTGGAGAAAACCTATGTGTTAGGGCAATCAACCTCTGACTTTTTTAAGGTTCGGTCGAGATATCATGAGTGAAAGGTGAGTGCTCTAACCACGGCACAACCAGACAACCAAGGATAATTAGTATATGACATTATTTCTGACAAATATATGCATAGATATATCTTAAATGTTAACTTCTGCCCTTATCCTTAGATACTGGTATAAGTTACATATTAGTCGACACAATTATCAAATAAGACTTATAAATGCTTAGCGATGTTTAGGGTGGTGCAGTGGATAGCACACTTGCCTTTCACCAAAGCAGTCAGGGTTTGATTCCCCGATCGGACGTGAAAAGGTATGGGGTCACCTGCCCAACCACGTGGGTTTTCTCTGGGTACTCCGGTTTCCTCCCAAAATAAGACTCCCTGCACGATAACATCCGGGCCAACAAGAGTGATTAATATAAGTTGAAATAACTGGTTTCATAATTGTTGTAAAATAAAACAAAGTTTATATATTTAGATGTTCAGAGTTACTTACCCTGGACGGTTGACATTTGGTTATGGGAGACGTGTGAGCACTAAAGCTGACTGGCTCCTGAAACAAAATGTTGGTAATAGTGTTACTATATTTTCAATCAATTTTTGTATCAAAGTTATGGATCAAGTGTAGTTAATTTAGAAAAAATATTTCATTTGAATTCTGGTTAATTCTATATCCCTAGAAATTTTCTGTTAAGCATTAATTTGAAGGTGTTTTTTTTTAAATTTAAAGTGATTAATTTCAGTTAACTATAAACAATAGATTCATTTCACATTATGTTGTATTTTTTCTTAAATTTGCATTGAGCATTGATCATGATTCTAAACGGTAATTCATAACGAACAAAAAAAAATCATTTTCTACAAACGGTTATTCATACCGTATAAAACATAGTGCATAACGTCAGATATACATGTCGAGTGAAACACAAATTATTGTCTTCTAATATATGTACAAAGAAGTTAAATACAGGGTGAGGGGATTTAACCCCAGTAGCCAGGTCACTACAAGGTGAAGAAGAGGACCCAAAAATAGCACAAGTTTGATGTCTTTAAGTAAACGAAATTGAGAGGATTCTGTACATTCATTAGGGCAGCCCACACTACTAGTTTTAACTTTGTATGATGATTCGTTCTCAAGTTATCATCAAAACAAGCCCAACCAAGCAGAATTCTATTTTTAGCAACCATGACCTTGACCTCTGCCCCAAATCAATAGGGTTCTTCACATCCTTTAGAGCAACCTACACTCCAAATTTGAAATTTGTATAATTATTTAAGTTATCCAGTCAAACATTACAAACTGATGGACTGACGG